GGATTCTACAAGAGGGTATAGAGCTGGGATTCTACAACAGGGTATAGTGCTAGGATTCTACAAGAGGGTATAGAGCTGGGATTCTACAAGAGGGTATAGAGCTGGGATTCTACAAGAGGGTACAGAGCTGGGATTCTACAAGAGGGTATAGAGCTGGGATTCTACAAGAGGGTATAGAGCTGGGATTCTACAAGAGGGTATAGAGCTGGGATTCTACAAGAGGGTACAGAGCCCTGATTCTACAAGAGGGTATAGAGCTGGGATTCTACAAGAGGGTATAGTGCAGGGATTCTACAAGAGGGTATAGAGCAGGGATTCTACAAGAGGGTATAGAGCTAGTATTCTACAAGAGGGTATAGAGCAGGGATTCTACAAGAGGGTATAGAGCAGGGATTCTACAAGAGGGTATAGGGCAGGGATTCTACAAGAGGGTATAGAGCAGGGATTCTACAAGAGGGTATAGAGCTTGGATCCTACAAGAGGGTATAGAGCTGGGATTCTACAAGAGGGTATAGTGCTGGGATTCTACAAGAAGGTATATAGCTGCGATTCTACAACAGGGTATAGAGCTGGGATCCTACAAGAGGGTATAGAGCTGGGATTCTACAAGAGGGTATAGAGATAGGATTCTACAAGAGGGTATAGAGCAGGGATTCTACAAGAGGGTATAGAGCAGGGATTCTACAAGAGGGTATAGAGCAGGAATTCTACAAGAGGGTATAGTGCTAGGATTCTACAAGAGGGTATAGAGCAGGGATTCTACAAGAGGGTATAGAGCAGGGATTCTACAAGAAGGTATATAGCTGCGATTCTACAACAGGGTATAGAGCTGGGATCCTACAAGAGGGTATAGAGCTGGGATTCTACAAGAGGGTATAGAGATACGATTCTACAAGAGGGTATAGAGCAGGGATTCTACAAGAGGGTATAGAGCAGGGATTCTACAAGAGGGTATAGAGCAGGAATTCTACAAGAGGGTATAGTGCTAGGATTCTACAAGAGGGTATAGAGCAGGGATTCTACAAGAGGGTATAGAGCAGGGATTCTACAAGAGGGTATAGAGCTGGGATTCTACAAGAGGTTATAGTGCTGGGATTCTACAAGAAGGTATATAGCTGCGATTCTACAACAGGGTATAGAGCTGGGATCCTACAAGAGGGTATAGAGCTGGGATTCTACAAGAGGGTATAGAGCTAGGATTCTACAAGAGGGTATAGAGCAGGGATTCTACAAGAGGGTATAGAGCAGGGATTCTACAAGAGGGTATAGAGCAGGGATTCTACAAGAGGGTATAGTGCTAGGATTCCACAAGAGGGTATAGAGCAGGGATTCTACAAGAGGGTATAGAGCAGGGATTCTAGAAGAGGGTATAGAGCTGGGATCCTACAAGAGGGTACAGAGCAGGGATTCTACAAGAGGGTATAGAGCTGGGATTCTACAAGAGGGTATAGAGCTGCGATTCTACAAGAGGGTATAGTGCTAGGATTTCTACAATAGGGTATAGAGCTGGGATTCTACAAGAGGGTATAAAGCAGGGATTCTACAAGAGGGTATAGAGCTGGGATTCTACAAGAGGGTATAGAGTAGGGATTCTACAAGAGGGTATAGAGCAGGGATTCTACAATAGGGTATAGAGCTGGGATTCTACAAGAGGGTATAGAGCTGGGATTCTACAAGAGGGTACAGAGCTGGGATTCTACAAGAAGGTACAGAGCTGGGATCCTACAAGAGGGTATAGTGCTAGGATTCTACAAGAGGGTATAGAGCAGGGATTCTACAAGAGGGTATAGAGCAGGGATTCTACAAGAGGGTATAATGCTAGGATTCTACAAGAGGGTATAGAGCTGGGATTCTACAAGAGGGTATAGAGCTGGGATTCCACAACAGGGTATAGAGCTGGGATTCGACAACAGGGTATAGAGCTGGGATTCGACAACAGGGTATAGTGCTAGGATTCTACAAGAGGGTATAGAGCAGGAATTCTACAAGAGGGTATAGTGCTAGGATTCTACAAGAGGGTATAGAGCAGGGATTCTACAAGAGGGTATAGAGCAGGGATTCTACAAGAGGGTAAAGAGCTGGGATTCTACAAGAGGGTATAGTGCTGGGATTCTACAAGAAGGTAAAGAGCTGGGATTCTACAAGAGGGTATAGTGCTGGGATTCTACAAGAAGGTACATAGCTGCGATTCTACAACAGGGTATAGAGCTGGGATTCTACAAGAGGGTATAGAGCTAGGATTCTACAAGAGGGTATAGAGCAGGGATTCTACAAGAGGGTATAGAGCAGGGATTCTACAAGAGGGTATAGAGCAGGGATTCTACAAGAGGGTATAGTGCTAGGATTCCACAAGAGGGTATAGAGCAGGGATTCTACAAGAGGGTGTAGAGCAGGGATTCTACAAGAGGGTATAGAGCTGGGATCCTACAAGAGGGTATAGAGCAGGGATTCTACAAGAGGGTATAGAGCTGGGATTCTACAAGAGGGTATAGAGCTGCGATTCTACAAGAGGGTATAGTGCTAAGATTTCTACAATAGGGTATAGAGCTGGGATTCTACAAGAGGGTATAAAGCAGGGATTCTACAAGAGGGTATAGAGCTGGGATTCTACAAGAGGGTATAGAGTAGGGATTCTACAAGAGGGTATAGAGCAGGGATTCTACAAGAGGGTATAGAGCTGGGATTCTACAAGAGGGTATAGTGCTAGGATTCTACAAGAGGGTATAGAGCTGGGATTCTCCAAGAGGGTATAGAGCAGGGATTCTACAAGAGGGTATAGAGCTGGGATTCTACAAGAGGGTAGAGAGCAGGGATTCTACAAGAGGGTATAGTGCTAGGATTCTACAAGAGGGTATAGAGCTGGGATTCTACAAGAGGGTATAGAGCTGGGATTCTACAAGAGGGTACAGAGCTGGGATTCTACAAGAGGGTACAGAGCTGGGATTCTACAAGAAGGTACAGAGCTGGGATCCTACAAGAGGGTATAGTGCTAGGATTCTACAAGAGGGTATAGAGCAGGGATTCTACAAGAGGGTATAGAGCAGGGATTCTACAAGAGGGTATAATGCTAGGATTCTACAAGAGGGTATAGAGCTGGGATTCTACAAGAGGGTATAGAGCTGGGATTCCACAACAGGGTATAGAGCTGGGATTCGACAACAGGGTATAGAGCTGGGATTCGACAACAGGGTATAGTGCTAGGATTCTACAAGAGGGTATAGAGCTGGGATTCGACAACAGGGTATAGTGCTAGGATTCTACAAGAGGGTATAGAGCTGGGATTCTACAAGAAGGTACAGAGCTGGGATCCTACAAGAGGGTATAGTGCTAGGATTCTACAAGAGGGTATAGAGCAGGGATTCTACAAGAGGGTATAGAGCAGGGATTCTACAAGAGGGTATAATGCTAGGATTCTACAAGAGGGTATAGAGCTGGGATTCTACAAGAGGGTATAGAGCTGGGATTCCACAACAGGGTATAGAGCTGGGATTCGACAACAGGGTATAGAGCTGGGATTCGACAACAGGGTATAGTGCTAGGATTCTACAAGAGGGTATAGAGCTGGGATTCGACAACAGGGTATAGTGCTAGGATTCTACAAGAGGGTATAGAGCTGGGATTCTACAAGAGGGTATAGAGCTGGGATTCCACAAGAGGGTATTGAGCTGGGATTCGAAAACAGGGTATAGAGCTGGGATTCTACAAGAGGGTATAGAGCTGGGATTCTACAAGAGGGTATAGAGCTAGGATTCTACAAGAGGGTATAGAGCTGGGATTCTACAAGAGGGTATAGAGCAGGGATTCTACAAGAGGGTATAGAGCAGGGATTCTACAAGAGGGTATAGAGCTAGGATTCTACAAGAGGGTATACAGCAGGGATTCGACAACAGGGTATAGAGCTGGGATTCTACAAGAGGGTAGAGAGCAGGGATTCTACAAGAGGGTATAGTGCTAGGATTCTACAAGAGGGTATAGAGCTGGGATTCTACAAGAGGGTATAGAGCTGGGATTCTACAAGAGGGTACAGAGCTGGGATTCTACAAGAGGGTACAGAGCTGGGATTCTACAAGAAGGTACAGAGCTGGGATCCTGCAAGAGGGTATAGTGCTAGGATTCTACAAGAGGGTATAGAGCTGGGATTCTACAAGAGGGTATAGAGCAGGGATTCTACGAGAGGGTATAATGCTAGGATTCTACAAGAGGGTATAGAGCTGGGATTCTACAAGAGGGTATAGAGCTGGGATTCCACAACAGGGTATAGAGCTGGGATTCGACAACAGGGTATAGTGCTAGGATTCTACAAGAGGGTATAGAGCTGGGATTCGACAACAGGGTATAGTGCTAGGATTCTACAAGAGGGTACAGAGCTGGGATCCTGCAAGAGGGTATAGAGCTGGGATTCTACAAGAGGGTATAGAGCTGGGATTCTACAAGAGGGTATAGAGCTGGGATTCCACAACAGGGTATAGAGCTGGGATTCGACAACAGGGTATAGAGCTGGGATTCTACAAGAGGGTATAGTGCTAGGATTCTACAAGAGGGTATAGAGCTGGGATTCGACAACAGGGTATAGTGCTAGGATTCTACAAGAGGGTATAGAGCTGGGATTCTACAAGAGGGTATAGAGCTGGGATTCCACAAGAGGGTATAGAGCTGGGATTCGAAAACAGGGTATAGAGCTGGGATTCTACAAGAGGGTATAGAGCTGGGATTCGAAAACAGGGTATAGAGCTGGGATTCCACAAGAGGGTATAGAGCTGGGATTCTACAAGAGGGTATAGAGCTGGGATTCTACAACAGGGTATAGAGCTGGGATTCGACAACAGGGTATAGAGCTGGGATTCTACAAGAGGGTATAGAGCTGGGATTCCACAAGAGGGTATAGAGCTAGGATTCTACAACAGGGTATAGAGCTGGGATTCTACAACAGGGTATAGAGCTGGGATTCTACAAGAGGGGACAATGATTGGATTCTACAACAGCACACCACAACAACTTACCCACGACACATTGCGAACGTCTATCTTGAGATATCGTTCCACATTAGTGACGCATGCCCCGCCAAGGAGGTCCTTCTCCAGATCCTCCGGCTCTACCGGTATGAGAGCAAACAGCTCCATGTTGGAACACACTCGACCTTCGAACTCCTGAGCCACGGCATCGATGACGAATGGGTAGTTGAAATTGTGATGCACGGAATGTTCTGCGAATATAAACAATGTTGTTTACATCCGACCAGATAGACTTTCGTCTAAGGGGGCACAGAAACCTATGATTGTGAGTTAGAATCCCGGTTCGCCCCGATTATGTTTCTAAGCTTGACAGCACCATGTCCGTGCTCGTGGGTTTCACCGAAGTGGTAAACGTCTGAGACATGCATCACTTCGGGCTTTCCTCCCACATTAAGCTGACACGCCGCGATATAACTGGAATACTGTTAAAAGCGGTGTTAAACCCAACTCACTCACTCACACTCACTCACTTTCGTCTAAAATCGAGTGAGTGAGTGTCTATTGTTTTACGCCGCATTTAAAGCGCAATATTCCAGCAATATCACATCCATCACAAATGGGCTTAAATAATCGTATCGTGGCCAAGCCAACAAGTGACTGTAAACATGATTAACTAGAATGAGTTTTTACTCTTAAATCAGGTGCTTGTACTAGTCAAGACCAATGTGTTAGCCCACTGAGATACCATGCCGCAGTTTAACATGAATACCCCACTCAGACACAGTATACTGACTCCGAGCCGACCAGTCCTTGTTTTAGCACCTTTATGCCTAGCGGCAGATAGGGTAACAACAAGTACCATCTTTTAACGTCTTTTGATATGACGCGGGACCCGTGAAGATTCCGGGGTAGAATAGGTCTTCAGCAACCCATGCTTGCTGTAAAAGGCGACTATGCTTGTCGTAAAAGGCTACTAACGGGATCGGGTGGTCAGACTCGCTGACTTGGTTGATGCATGTCATCGATCCCAATTGCGTGGATCGATGCTCATGATATCAATCACTGGATTGTCTGGTCCAGACTCGATTATTTACAGACCGCCGTCATATAGCTGGAATATTGCTGAGTGCGGCGTTAAACAACAAACAAAACAAACAAACAAAATGATATGACCGGGAATCGAACCCCGGACCTCCGCTCTCCGGGCGGACGCTCTAACATTAGACCACGGAGGCGGTCCCAACGTATCAACAGGGGACTTGTAACTCAACATGTCCATTACGCATAGTTGCCTTACATCACAGAAACTACTTTGAAAACGCGATGTCTTATTCACCAGGCTGAGTACGCCAGGCCACACACCTACCTCGTTCACTTGCGCCTTCCGCCAAGCTCAGACACAGACACAAACAAACAACTGGACGTAACAGCGCCATACTGCGGACTCTGAAAGGAAAACATACGACCGAATACACTAAACTTCACAAAACTATATGAAAACAGTGACCTACAAATCAGCTTCAGTCTCCAAGCTCTATTCATGTATGTGTGTAGTAGCTTCCAGTGTATTGGATAGTGACGACCAATCACCAGCTGCTGCAGACGGTAAGCTGGGTCCTTCATGCCACTGCACGTGCAGAATAGATCGCAGACGGCCACACATACCGGGACATTAATAAAGTATGATGACACGAGGAAGGATTCCATCGCTAGTTTATTTGAATATTCAGTCAGCAGTAGGCACGAACCGGTTGATTATTCTTCAGTGGATATCATCGCCATTTTTGTACAAAAGCCACCAACAGTCCATTTTTCCAACTGTTTGCTCAGTTGCTAACTGAATGTAAAAGGACATTTTCAGTCAGTTCACTCCCTTGCCTCGGGAAGACGCCGTCAGTCACCCCAACTGACAACCTGTTGGCCTGAGACACTAAGGCTGTGTAAAATATGTTTCTATGGCAAATATTTCTCGAATGTAGAAGGGTGAGGTAGGACGGGTGTTTTAATTTTTTTATTGAAAACAAAAGTGATGAGGGAGAAACACATATTTCCCCCCACCAAGAAATAGATTTTAAAAGACGCGCCGACGTCCGACAAAGAATTCCTTGTTTAGCCTGATATCAAGTGGGCTAGTATACTCAATTTGGGTAGACATTTCTGATTCAGACTGTGGTCTTCGGATGACATTGTATAAAAACACATGAGTGTTAAAATCGCGCAAAAAAGGTTTCGAAACAAAAGGAAGTTAAATCTATTCACCTTAAAATATTTGGTCAGTTAACATCGACACTTTTCAAATGAGGTTGACCCCCATAAATATCCGGGTTAAGCCATCGATTATTTACAGACCAGCGTCATAAAGCTGGAATATTGCTAAATGTACGTTAAACAACAAACGAACAACAACAAAAGAAACGTGTCTCGGGCCAGCAGGTTGTCAGTTAGGGTGACTGTCGGCACCTTTCCGAGGCAAAGGAGTTAACTGACTGTAAAAGTGGAAACTGGACTTTTACATTCAGTTAATGCCCTTGACTCGGGAAGATGGACTGTCGGTGGCTTTACAGCAGCTGGTGATTGGACCTTACTATCAAATACATTGGATACAACACACGTACACTACTGCCTAGAAGTCCATTCCCCTTATAATTAATTACACGCAACGAGCAACGATCCATGTCATCTTGGTACGATGAGACGCCATCAACCAAGACACCGAGCCTGACCACCCGGTACATTTGGTCGCCTCTTACGACCATGCAGTACATGTTGCTGGGGACCTATTCCAGTTTAGATTTATAGGATTGCAGTTTTGTCTTATATTTCATCTCTGTTCGGGGGGCTTACGTCCGGTGACAGGACTTCCAAATAACTGAGACTCTAGTTCTAAGCTACCAAGTCACCATCGATAACACCCCATCAGGGTACAACAGAGTCGCACTAAATCTCGTCCTGCAGAATTGAGAGCAACAATTCGACTGATAAAAATGTCAAAGGAGCACGTGATTGGCTCAAAGAGCAGGCCCGTGTGTACATTTGAGGCTGGACTTTCTCGTAAACATGCTGAAACCGACCAAGATCTAATCACTGTTGCCCCTGTAACCTGTACAGAGATAATTAGGTTTACACCGGTTTGGTGGTTACCTCCCTTCTTTGTCCCTGGAAGCACCGGTTGAGAGTTATGATTCAGAATAATTTATTTGAAAGCTGGGTTTTTTTCAGTGAGTGGGTAAATATGTTTTTACGTCGATTTTAGAAATATTTCGGCATTATCACGGCGGGGGACACCAGAAATGGAATTCACATGTTGTATCCAATTTGGGAATCGAAACCAGGTCTTCAGCGTGCCGAGCGAGCTCTTTAACCACACCCTACTCCACCACCCGTCTTTGTTAATGGAGTTGATGTCGAGTTATGGTTGAAGTAGAATTTAAAGGTGGTATTAACAGTGACCGCCTGGAAGTAATAGAATAGCGGCGGTATTAACAGTGGCCGACTAGAATTATGTGAATGGTGGCGGTATTAACAGTGGCCGACTAGAAGTAATAGAATAGTGGCGGTATTAACAGTGGCCGACTAGAATTATGTGAATGGTGGCCGTATTAACAGTGACCGCCTGGAAGTAATAGAATAGTGGCGGTATTAACAGTGGCCGACTAGAAGTAATAGAATAGTGGCGGTATTAACAGTGGCCGACTAGAAGTAATAGAATAGTGGCGGTATTAACAGTGGCCGACTAGAAGTAATAGAATAGTGGCGGTATTAACAGTGGCCGACTAGAAGTAATAGAATAGTGGCGGTATTAACAGTGGCCGACTAGAAGTAATAGAATGGTGGTGGTATTAACAGTGGCCGACTAGAAGTAATAGAATGGTGGCGGTATTAACAGTGGCCGACTATAAGTAATAGAATAGTGGCGGTATTAACAGTGGCCGACTAGAAGCAAAAACATGGTGGTATTAACAGTGGCCGACTAGTAGTAATAGAATAGTGGCGGTATTAACAGTGGCCGACTAGAAGCAAAAACATGGTGGTATTAACAGTGGCCGACTAGTAGTAATGAAATGGAGGTGGTATAAACAGTGGCCGACTACTAGTAATTAAATGGAGATGGTATAAACAGCGGCTGACTAGTAGTAATCAAATGTAGGCGGTATAAACAGTGGCCGACTAGTAGTAATTAAATGGAGGTGGTATAAACAGTGGCCGACTAGTAGTAATTAAATGAAGGTGGTATAAACAGTGGCCGACTAGTAGTAATGAATTGGAGGTTGTATAAACAGTGGCCGACTAGTAGTAATTAAATGGCGATGGTATAAACAGTGGCCGACTACTAGTAATGAAATGGAGGTGGTATAAACAGTGGCCGACTAGTAGTAATGAAATGGAGGTGGTATAAACTATGGCCGACTAGTAGTAATTAGATGGAGGTGGTATAAACAGTGGCCGACTAGTAGTAATGAAATGGGGGTGGTATAAACAGTGGCCGACTAGTAGTAATGAAATGGAGGTGGTATAAACTATGGCCGACTAGTAGTAATGAAATGAAGGTGGTATAAACAGTGGCCGACTAGTAGTAATGAAATGGGGGTGGTATAAACAGTGGCCGACTAGTAGTAATGAAATGGAGGTGGTATAAACTATGGCCGACTAGTAGTAATTAGATGGAGGTGGTATAAACAGTGGCCGACTAGTAGTAATGAAATGGGGGTGGTATAAACAGTGGCCGACTAGTAGTAATGAAATGGAGGTGGTATAAACTATGGCCGACTAGTAGTAATTAGATGGAGGTGGTATAAACAGTGGCCGACTAGTAGTAATGAAATGGGGGTGGTATAAACAGTGGCCGACTAGTAGTAATGAAATGGAGGTGGTATAAACTATGGCCGACTAGTAGTAATGAAATGAAGGTGGTATAAACAGTGGCCGACTAGTAGTAATGAAATGGGGGTGGTATAAACTATGGCCGACTAGTAGTAATTAGATGGAGGTGGTATAAACAGTGGCCGACTAGTAGTAATGAAATGGGGGTGGTATAAACAGTGGCCGACTAGTAGTAATTAGATGGAGGTGGTATAAACAGTGGCCGACTAGTAGTAATGAAATGGGGGTGGTATAAACAGTGGCCGACTAGTAGTAATGAAATGGGGGTGGTATAAACAGTGGCCGACTAGTAGTAATGAAATGGGGGTGGTATAAACAGTGGCCGACTAGTAGTAATGAAATGGGGGTGGTATAAACAGTGGCCGACTAGTAGTAATGAAATGAAGGTGGTATAAACAGCGACCGACAAGTAGTAATGAAATGGGGGTGGTATAAACAGCGGCCGACTAGTAGTAATAAAATGAAGGTGGTATAAACAGCGGCCGACTAGTAGTAATTAAATGAAGGTGGTATAAACAGTGGCCGACTAGTAGTAATGAAATGAAGGTGGTATAAACAGTGGCCGACTAGTAGTAATGAAATGGGGGTGGTATAAACAGCGGCCGACTAGTAGTAATGAAATGAAGGTGGTATAAACAGTGGCCGACTAGTAGTAATGAAATGAAGGTGGTATAAACAGCGGCCGACTAGTAGTAATGAAATGAAGGTGGTATAAACAGTGGCCGACTAGTAGTAATGAAATGAAGGTGGTATAAACAGTGGCCGACTAGTAGTAATGAAATGGGGGTGGTATAAACAGTGGCCGACTAGTAGTAATTAAATGGAGGTGGTATAAACAGTGGCCGACTAGTAATAATGAAATGGGGGTTGTATAAACAGTGGCCGACTAGTAGTAATGAAATGGGGGTGGTATAAACAGTGGCCGACTAGTAGTAATGAAATGGGGGTGGTATAAACAGTGGCCGACTAGTTGTAATGAAATGGAGGTGGTATAAACAGTGGCAGGACAGGTTGTAATTTAATAGTGGTGTTGACATTAACGGGGTTTCGCTGTAAACGAAATCCAAAATGATAGCGATATATAGTTACTGGATACCTTGCCGGCTGCGCTCGTGTGGGATTGTTCTCGGGTGGTTTGCGTTTAGGATCAAACCATGAAAATTCTGCTGATTACAGCGTCAACGTCCTGAACACAGATCCGCTCCCAACGTCCTCCCCAAATCCCAACTCTCCACCTTCATTGTTCTTGATCGTTTTTTCAAATTGCATTACAGATCCGCCAACTCTTAAAAATTGGAAGGTGGAAAAATAAACTGAAACCCCCCATAATCATATTTCGCCAATTTTGCAAATATGTACGCGGACGCCACAAAATACTGCGTACACAATAGGTTTAACCACGAGACAAAAGGTCAAACAAGGCGACAAGCTTCACTGACCTGCACACATCACAACGGATTTAGATTAACTTTTGATTTTTTGGTTTTGGTTTGATTTGTTGTTTAACGCCGCACTCAGCAATATTCCAGCTATATGGGATCGATGACATGAATCAACCAAGTTAG